TATGTGTTTGATCTGGCTGCACCCACTTCTATGCTTTTGTGACTGAATATCCCAAGGAAACATGAGAGTCCTTGCAGTTAGAAGCAGATGTTTGATGGAAACAGTGCTGTTGTAAAATTAAATCATCTTCTTAGAAGCAGTGATTTGGTGGATACTTTTTCTAGCAACACATAACAGCAATGAAAAAAACATGCAGTGTGTTGTATCACTCTTACTATTTCTCTGGAAAAGTGGATGGCTTGTTAAAGTCATTCTGAAAGACTCCAAGTGCAGACAGCATGATTTTTGGACCACAGGAAAGAGGAGGGACAGGACCAAGTACTCACAGTCAGATTGAGAAGGGGCCACTTTATGCTTTGCACCAGGATCCTTGCCAGAAATGGTGTGCTGCTGGTAATTCTGTACAGCAGACTGGCACTGGGCCTGTGCTCATTAGTCTGGCATTGCATCTGTTCTCTAATACAGCAGGATTCTTCAAGGATATGAAGGCACCACTAATGTTTTTAATTTTAATGTGGCTGGGACAGTCAGATTAGCTGGGGAAAAGGAATGTGAACTTCATCAAATTAATTGTGGGACAATCAGAATAGAGATGTACATCCCACAGGTAAAACAGTTGGAATCTCACCTACTTGCATATCTCAAGGTATTATAATTATCATGGTCTGATTCCTAGCCTTACCATTCCAGTAACTTTCATAATAGTTCCTAAACAAAAAGTTTAATCCTAAATTATAAGGTGTGATCAGATAATTCATCTTGAGTGATTTATAAAGAAATGTGAGTGAGTCCAGGAAGCTTCTGTCTCTCAGACACAAATTCTACGAGTAGGATGATCATGTGCTTTTTCTAAGCTTCTCTTGAATTCATTCCTTTTTGCTGTATTTGCAAGAAAGGAAATTTTTTATATGAAGCTTGAGGTTTGTTTCCTTTTAATATGTAAAAGCAGTTTTTCTACGTAGTTTACACCTGTACTGTCGGAGACTGAAGAAAACTTGGGTATTTCCAATAAATCTCCTAGGTCTGCTTTAAAATACCAGCAGTTTTGAGGAGGCTGAGAGCACAACAGCAGTCTCAGGAGAGATGTGGCATGAGTTGTAGGATGGATGATAAAGCATTCACCACAGAAAACAATGAAGTTAACCTGTTTTGTTATCCTGAGTCCTGCATCTGGCAGATCTTAGTGATTAGGCAACAGTTAGTACTGCTGCTTTGATGTATGATACTGTGAACATGACCAGTAGGAACTAGAGTCCCAAAGCCTCCCTGTTCAAATGTCCTAATCTAATGATAGGTAGTTTAATTCCACAATATCCATTTACTTGAATGCCTTTTCACACACACACACACACACGCAACACAAACACACACACACACATGCAAAAACAAACAAACAAACAAAAAAAACAACTTTCTGTGTCCAGAAAATTAAAATAACTCCATGTTCTGACAGACTCTGTAGGTCCAAAACTTTCAGCTTAAATCTACCACTGCAAGCCTAGATATGGAAAGGTAGCTAAAATTTTCAAAAACAAGAATTAAAGTAAATATTACGATCATCATATTAGCAATAATTATTATACACAGATAAAAAGAATGGTTTGTAAGGACCTGTTTAATGATATTTCACGTATGAGATTTTCTTCAGTGATCCAAAGGAGATAGACACTGTGTTCAGTTTTGGGTCCCTCACTACAAGAAAGACATGGACGCCCTAGAGTGTGTCCAGAGAAGGGCAGTGAAAGGTCTGGACTGCAAGTCTTATGAGGAGCGGCTGAGGAAACTGGGATTGTTTGGTGTGGAGAAGAGGCTCAGGGGAGACCTTACCACTCCCAACAACTGCCTGAAGTGAGGCAAGTAGGGGGTTGGCCTCTTCTCCCAGGGAAGAATGACAGAACTAGAGAGAATTGCCTTAAGTTGTACCAGGGAGGTTCAAATTATTCAGGAATCATTCAGGTTTACAATATTCAAGATATTAGGAAGAATTTCTTCTCAGAAAAAGTGGTGAGGCATTGGAATAGGCTGCTCAGGGAAGTGGTGGTCTCCTTGTCTCTGGAAGTGTTTAAGAAAAGGGAGTAGTTAGGGACATGGTTTAAAGCACAGTATTGGAGGCAGGTAAATGGATGGACCAGATGACCTTAGAGGTCTTTTCCAACCTTAATAATTCTATGATTCTGTGATTCAATCTAGATGGAGAGCCAGCTGATTTAGCTAGATTGCATATGTTCTTTGAAAACCACTGGCTTGTAGAGATTGCAAACAAGTGAATTCACTTAACAAAAAAAAAAAAAAAAAGCAGAATTCCTTTTCTATAGCGTTACCCTATGTTATCAAAAAACATGTCATCACCCTTATTTAAAGTGAAAACATCCAGGATCCTGAACTCAAGACATTTTAATATATTCCATTATAAAGCATAGTAAAGAAGCCTACTCGTAGTGAATTCCATAAATGATAGCTGTTTGTTATGGCACATTTGCTTTATCCATTCTTGCATTAAGGCTAGAATACCAAATTTTCCAACTTCTTGAGGCCAAACTGCACGACCTTGGGTATACTGTGAATAATGTCCAAATATTGTTACCATTGTTATCCTGTGTCTCTGGAACGCATTTCATTTCATTTCTGATACATGAGAAACGCTTCAAAGACTGCAAAGATATTCTCTTTCTCCTTGCAAGCAATTTATCAGCATTCTTCCCAGGGAATTAACAGAATCTAGGGGATTTCAGATGTCTTTGAATGGTCATGCTGCTTTTTCCACTGAAATATTCTGCCTATGGTTAGGATAGTACTATGACAACTTGCTATCCAGACATTGACCGTCTGGCACTTTAGATGGCCCCTACTTATACAGGCTCATATATTTCCAGATTGCTTTAACTAATGAAGTAGCAGGGGAGGAGGTCAAGGAAATCTTGCTCTAAGTCATGATAATAGACCGTATGGTTGTTATCTTTTCTCATGCCATGGATTGCTTCTTTTTGCCATTGCATCAGTGAAATTTTGTTTGTGTGAGCAGCTTAACTTGAAGAGCAGTCTACTGAATCCATCTTGTCTTCATTCCATCAGCCTAAGGGCTTTTTGTCCAAGGAGAAACTTTCTTCTCAGTAAAATAATGAAAACTGGAATTGAGACAAAATAAATAGGGCCATACCAGGGCAAGAAATGGATTTTAATTTGACTTTTCTGCTTGAGGTCTCAAATCTGTAGCTGAAACCAAGTACTTTGCCAGCCTTTTAGAATGGAAGATCTTTCAAGATTTTGAATACTTATAAGAAGCTAGGTGCACTTCAAGAGAAAGGCTGATGTTGCCATTGCCTTCTTTAGATGCCCACTTCTGGTAGTAGGACTTCTAAAAAGAAGTATGTCAATGCTACCAGGATGAGTCAAAATACCAACACTCCTTGTGCAGTCAACAGGGAGATGAATGTTGACTTTCTGAAGTGTTTTTTACTGCGCTAAGTGGGAAGCTGTCTAGAGCAAAAGAAATTGGACTCCTGTCTCTCTTGTAAGGAGCCTCTGAGACAGAGCCACACTTTGGGCACCTTTATTCCTGAGAGCTGCATTATAGGTTGAACGAATATGCATCTGTATCTTGTTATTGTCACATCTGTACCTAAACAAACACTTATTAGACTCCTGAGACAAAAACGCCACACATTGTGGTGTGCCATTTACTTTAGATTGCTGGATTCATGTCCACACTTCCCAGTTCTCCAGAAAGGCTGCGCTGCAGTTAGAGGAAACTGAATGTCAGAAGTGAGTAGGCTAAAGGCATCCCAAGTCAATAAAACATCTTTCTGCCTTCTACTGGCTACATCAACTAGATATAAACTGACCAGAATATTTGCTTGGACTCCTAATTAGATTGTAAACATTTTATATGTAGACATACTGATTTATGTGTCCACAGTATGGAACTGAATCTCATTCTTATGGCTTGACTCAGTTGCCTAAATGTAGGTGTTGATATGCATATGGAAGACATGAGCTTCAGGATACTTGAGCTGGTCATCTTAAACCAGTAGCCTATTCCTCATCAGCTAGATTGAGATATCAATCTTCCTGTTTTTAGGAAAAGCTATAGAGGAGAGTGTGTGAGTACTGTCTAGATTTCATCCTTCATCATTCTTAGGAATAAGAGGTTTTCTGTTCATGAAGCTTGACATTCTTTCCCTGAAAATACATACATTTTATTTCATTGAAAGGTACTTTTATAGTGGTTAGCAACAATTGCCAGATGAAACAGATCTCCACAAAGAGGGGACTTATTATGGCTTATATTTTGCAGTAGGTTTGTGCACAGATGTGAGTAGTCCACCCATTTGGTTCTATTTATTTCAACATTAAATTATTTAGATGAATTTTACTAATTCTGTTAACTGTTTTAGGTGTCATTGATTACATGTACATTTGCTTGTTGGGTTTCCCTGTATTAAATACGGAAAATCTATAGAAAGACAGCCTTTTAATGAAGAAGGCCCATTTTTCACTATTCTGCCCTAGGAATTTGGTTTTCTCTCTGTCCTTGTGCACTAGTGCCCAATTTCCTCCTTGTACAAGGTAGCTCTTATTAAGTTCTTCTCCTCTTAAGCCTTCCTTGCACCATATGGAGCAGCTGGCAGAATATGTTGCTGCAGCACCCTTCATAGTGAGTGAAACGAACCTTTAGCCTCACACAGTGGATGCTCCAATGTTCTCTATCTTGAAAGTAGTTGCAGTAGTAAAGAAGGAAGACGTTTTTTTATGAAAAACTGAAATTGATATGTGACATAGTTTGCATTTGTTTCTGTTCTTCAACGAGATGCTTTCTAAAGGCATCTTGCTGATTTGCAGAGTATTATATTAAAATATAAATATTGGTGCTTTATCAGCTTTTAGATTTTCCAGTGATTGATGAATTATGGTTAAGTTTAAAGAAATGGTGGTTAATAGCAGAGTTTCAAATAGTGTCTAAGAATGAACAGGTTTAGAGAATTTTAAAGCTTACTACTTACCTCAGCCTTCAGATCCTCTTTTATGAACTCCTTGTGATCTCTTTGTATCTCTGTCTAGGGAGACAGCAAATTCTGTAAAATGCAGTAATTGAAACCACTGAAAACTTCTTGAATATGACTAATCATTACCAGTTTCTACTGATAACTCATTGACTGCCAGCCAAGATTTTATTAATTTCAATGCTGTTGTGGTTTCGTGATTTTTTGTTATCAGTTCTCCACATCAGAACATCCTGTGGACCAGTGGGAGCTAACGAGTTCTGGTTCTGTCTTTTGTGGACTCTTCGAGCATCCTGATGGGAGGGGAGGGGATGGCATCCCCAGAGGACCTGGCAGGAAGTGGTGGAGATGGGGCTCCCGACAGGGCCCAAGCATCTGCCTCTCTTTGTCTGGCCCTGGCACGTGCTTTCCCTCTCACTGTTGCGGTTTGACTCGCATTTTGAATACTCTTGTCTCTCTCATTTTGTTTGATTTAGTTAAATTCAGTAAATTACCATTCCTCTTCAGATCACTGCCATTGTGTTTTCTCTCTGTTAAAACTTTCTGCCAGCCCTCTGCCCTTTCCCCTCTCTCAGAGCACAGGCGGTCCGGGGCTGGCCAGGTTGCGGCAAACCATTTGAACCCCTTCTTTTTTTCTCTTCTTATCATATCCATGGCTGGAGCAGGACTAAAGAAGGGTAACACGGCTTGTGAAGGGCTTGGAAAATATGCCCTATGAGGAGAGACTGAAGGAATTGGGGCTGTTTAGTCTGGGGAAGAGGAGGCTGAAAGGAGACCTTATTGCTCTCTTCTAATATCTGAAAGGTGCTTACAGCAAGAGCGGGGTTGGTCTCTTCTCACTGGTGACAGGTGGCAGGACGAGGGGAAATGGCCTCAAGTTGTGCCAGGGGAGGGCTAGGTTGGATATCAGGAAAAATTTCTTTACAGAAAGGGCTGTTAAGCACTGGAATAGGCTCCTGAGGGAGGTGGTTGAGTCACCATCCCTGAATGTGTTTTAAAACCGTTTGAATGTGGTACTCAGGAACATGATTTAGTGGAGTGTTGATAGAGTCAGGGTAGTATGGTTTGGTTGTGGTTGGACTTGATGAACTTTAAGCTCTTTTCCAACCTGCGCAATTCTATGATTCTGTGATTCTATGATTAAAAAATGATCTAAAATCTCCTAAATGACAACAAAATCAGTGAGAAATTTAAAGGAAAAAAAGAAAAAAAAGAGACAGAAATAACAGGTAGTATCACTGATAGGGGGAAAAATTCATAAAGATTGATTAAAGGAATAAAGTCAAAGGAGATGAAGCATGAAACTTCGGAATATCTCAGTTAGTGTATGATGTATGATGTCAAATCACTTCTTAGGTATGTGGGTGGGATCTCCTGGGAAAGTGTCCTTGAGGGCATAGGAACAGAACAGAGCAGGCAGCTCTTTAGGGATGCCCTTCTGAGAAAGCAAGATCTCTCAATCCACAGTGGAAGGAATTGAGCAGAGGAGGCGGGTGTCAGTCATGGCTGAGAAAGGACCTGCAACTGAAACTGAGGAAAAAGGGAAATGTACAGGAGTGGAAGCAGGGTTGTGTAGCCTGGAAAGAATATAGGGACATATTCCGTATGTGTAGAAATAATATTAGGAAAGCCCAGGCGCAGATAGAGCTGAAATTGGTGAGAGATGTGAAAAATAACAAGAAGGGGTTCTTCAGGAACATAAGTAGGAGGAGGCAGATCAAAGAGAGAATTCCCCTCAGATAAATGAGTACGGTGAAGTGGCTTCCTCAGACATGTAAAAGCTACGATGCTTAATAAGTGTTTTGACTCAGTCTTCACTTGTGGTCAGGCTACATATCTGCCAGATTCCTGAACCTCTGACTGTGGGTAAGAGAAGCAGATTCAGTCCCACTGTAACAATGGAACAAGTCCGAGACATCCTCATGAAACTGAATGTATATAAGTTCACGGAGCCAGATGATATCCATTCTAGGGTTCTGAGAGCATCATCTGGCTGATGATGCAAAAAGCAAAGGGGTTGAAATCAGATGACCATTGTGGCACATGGCCTTGCTGAACTTCATGAAGTTGGCACGGGCTCATTTCTCAGGCCTGTCCAGGCCAGCCTGAGTGGCATCCCT